TCGCCCCTGAGTCTGCCAAGGAATTTTCTATGTGATGAGAACCGATGCAAAGAGGTATAGTGAAACTACCTGGATCAGGTTGCTTCTTGGGCAACCTATTGAGGATGAAGGATGAGCACTCCTCGCCTAGGGTGACATTGGCGAGGTCTTCGAACTTCGGCTTATTGGATAGATATCCCTTAAGGTATCTTGAATACCTTGGCATGTGGGCCATGGCTTCGAGGAAGGGAATGTTGAGGTGGAGCTTTTGGAGCATCTCCATGAAACCTCCACATTCTGCTTCCAATCTTTCCTTGTGCACTCTTGTGGGAAAAAGGTAGGGTTGGCGTGTACTCGGCCAAAGGTGGTGGCGTCGACAATGCCTTCCTTGTCACTACTCTCTTTTACCCCGAGATTTTTTCTTCTTCACCCTCGGGTAGAGGGTCTTCCTTCTCATTCACTTCTTTGGCAACGAACTCCGAGGTCACCTTCCCGCTCCTCAAGTAAATCGCATTGAACCCGTCTTGATCCTTGGGGTTGGCAATGGTTTGAAAGGGTAGGGATCCCTTTGGTCTCTCGGTGAGGATCCCTGCAAGATTGTTAATTTGAACTTCCAAGCTTTAAAGACTCGCTTAATGGCTTCGGAGTCCCGCCTCACCCAAGGTAAACTTGGATGTTGCCACATCCATGAATTGCTAAAGCTTCTCAAACTTCTGAGAGCTTGTACTCACAAATGCGTTCACAAGGTCTTCAAGCTTAGAGAACTTGTCGACTTTTTGTTGTTGTTGTTGAAACCCTTGACCGCATTGTGTTTGGTATGTTTGTTGGAAGTTTGAGTTTTGGTATTGAGGCCTTTGTTGGATGAATGTTGGCCGAAGTTGGTAGTCTCCCCTTGGACCTTGGAAACCGGAAGGTATTGGATTGGTAGGGGAAAACCAAGCAAAGTTTGGATGATTTCGTCACCCGGGGATGTAGGTGTTGCTATAAGGGTTGTTCCCTCTAGCACTGGCAATGAAGCTCACTTCCTCCTCGGGGGTACTCAACTCCTTCATCACTTGACAATCCACAATTTCATGATTGGTGCTCGAATACCAATCACAAGACATCACCGTTCTCTTCCCTTGCTTCTTATCCTCAAGGATCACCTCGATCAAGTTATCAAGCTTCGTTTCAAGTGGAGCACTCGCTCCCACACTTCGCACTCCTCGATCAGTGCTTCTCTTCCCACATCTTGTCTAGCCCCAGTCATATCCCTTAAGAGCCATATATTCTAGCAACTCGGTCACTTGAGGAGGGGTCATGTTCATCAAACTTTGATTCGGGCCTAATTGTATACTTTTTACCCTTTATTATCTTAGACGTTTGTTGCAATTGAACTCCAAAAAGGTTGGTTTTATGCGAAGTTGCTTGTATTTTAGTGTGTTTCAGATCCTGACAGGTAAAACAAAAATCGGAGTCGAAAGTTGGAACAAAAGGAGCAAAGACCGGGCAAAGAGGCGGAGACAGCCACAGTTCACGGCCAGACGTTGGATTTCACGGTCTTACTGGACCGTGACTGGAGCCATAACTCGTGAAGCAAGCAGCAAACAGAGGGGGTTTTCAAGTTACTGGCTCCTAGGCAGTTCACGGTTGTTAAGACCGTGCACATGGGCCACTGACCGTGAACCCAAGCAATTGAAGCTTTGCGTTTTAGTCGCCCCACTGAGTTCACGAACGCGTTTTAATGTGAAATCAGCGCGATCTCCCACTTAAAAGGAAATCTGAAGGAAAGAAGAAAGGAGAGACCTAGAGTGAGAAAACTTCTCCTTCTTCAAATTTTAGAGTGAGAAAGTGACGAACCAAAGAAGAGGAAAAGCTAGGGTTTGATCTCCAAGCAAGGATTTGGGTTTTCTTCAGCACAAGGAGCAAGACTTGCATCTTCATGATGGTTTTCCTTTCCCTCTTTTGTGTTTTCCCTTCTCCTAGCATGGAGTAGTCCCTTATTTCACTTTGGTGTTTGTAAACGCTAGCTATAATTATGTGAATGCTTGTATGAATTGAATGATTTTTGTGTGGTTGTGTTTTAATGTGAATGTGGAGGTATTATTCAGCAATGATTGTGCTATGTGAAAGCCTATCAATCTAATTAACAATTTAACCTAGATTAGAGAGGAGAACTCCATTGGCTAGGAGTTTCATTGGGTGTTTTGGGGCATTTCAAGCCTCCTAAACTAGTTTAGAGAGGTAACTTCCTTAGGTTCAGAGGCTCATTATTGAGATGGGGTTCTTGGGCATTGCATGCCTCCTAGGCTAGATTAGAGAGGAAACTTCCTTCACCCAAGAGGTTTGGTTTCCTTGGGCATTCAAAGCCTTCTAAAATAGTTTAGAGAAAACCCTCCTTAACCTAAGAAGCTCATTTCGAGATGGGTTTCCTTGGGAATTCAATGCCTGCCAAGCTAGGTTAGAGAGAACCCTCCTTAACTTATGAGGCTCTATTAGAGATGGGTTTCCTTTGGCATTCTATGCCTCCTAGTCTAGATTATTTAAAGGGAAAACCTCCTAATTTGTATTAAACACTTAGGGTTTGGTTGCGGGTGGTCGTCCGAACTCCAATTCGAGGGTGAAGTCTAACCATTCCTTAGTCGATAGGTTAAGAGGGTCACATCATAGGCTTGGATCGTATCCCATTCCTCAACCTAGAGTCTAAGAGGGTAACTTTGGTTGCTTGTTATACTTCCCTACGGTTTATGACCCCCTAATCACACACGGTCGTTCGATTCTTCTAGTCATAATTGTTAGCTTGGGGGAGCAACACCCGGGTGAAGCTTTCTCAACTATAGTCAAATCCATTTTATCTTTGTAAAGTAATTTAGTATTCAACCTTTGTTTTCACCAAAACTGATCCGCTCGATAATGCTTCAAACAGTCGAAGTAGCGGTACATGGACCGGCCCGGGTCAATATTTAAACATACTTGCCCTATATTGCACCCATCTAAGGTTTATACTTGGACCTTAGGTGGGATTTTATTGTGATAGTTAGAGCGATTCAACATCCCTTGGCAAAGAGAATCAATGATGATCTTGTCATCTTGAATGAGTCCTCCATAGAATGTTTATATCCGAAATTGCTCCTCGAATCCATGGTGAGGGCATTGGAGGAAGTAGTCAGAGAATCTTTCCCATGCATCCCTCAATGTCTCATCTCCTCTTGCTCAAAGTGAGTGATCTTCTTCAATTACTTCAATTTCGAGATCAACTTATTTCCCCCTTTCTTGACTTCTCCTTCTTGCCACCGCTTGCTCCCTCTCTCGAGCTACAAATCAGAGGGTCCGGTTGATGTCATCGTCCAATGGTGTTAAAGGCATCAGATTGCTCCAGGTCATGCACCTCCCTACACACACTCAAAGAGCACAACTGTCTAGCACAAGCAAACACTTCACAACTTAACAAAAACACAAATTAAAAGCTAGATTAACACCAAACAAACTTTTCACGATAGCGGACCGAAGTCCCCGGCAACGATGCCAAAAACTTGACTCGCTCTGACTATCACAATAAAATCCCACCTAAGGTCCAAGTATAAACCTTAGATGGGTGCAATATAGGGAAAGTATGTTGCACTACTTTGACTGTTTGAAACATTATCTAGTGGATTGGTTTTGGCTAAAATAAAGGTCTAAAACTAAATTGCTTTGTAAAGGTAAAATGGATTTGACTCTAGTTGAGAAAGCTTCAACCCGGGTGTTGCTCCCCCTAGCTAATAGTTATGACTTGAAGAATCGAACGATCGTGTGTGGTTAGGGGGTCATAAACCGTAGGGAAGTTTAACAAGTAGCCGAAGCTACCCTCTTAGCCTCTAGGTTGAGGAATGGGATAAAATCCAAGCCACTAATGTGACCCTCTCAACCTATCAACTAAGGAATGGTTAGACTTCACCATCGAATTGGTGTTCAGACGGCCACCCACAACCAAACCCTAAGTGCTAATGCGAATTAGGAGGTTTTCCCTTTAACTAACCTAGACTAGGAGGCATAGAATGCCCAAGGAAACCCATCTCTAGTAGAGTCTATTAAGTTAAGGAGGGTTCTCTCTAACCTAGCTTCGGAGGCATTGAATACCCAAGGAAACCCTTCTCGAAATGAGCCTCTTTGGTTAAGGAGGGTTCTCTCTAACCTAGTTTTAGGCTTTGAATGCCCAAGGAAACCGAACCTCTTGGGTAAAGGAGGTTTCCTCTCTAAACTAGCCTAGGAGGCATGAAATGCCCAAGAACTCAATCTCAATATTGAGCCTCTTAACCTAAGGAGGGTTCCTCTCTAAACTAGTTTAGGAGGCTTGAAATGCCCATGTACACCCAATGAAACTCCTAACCTAAGGAGGTCTCCTCTCTAATCAAGGTTAAATTGGCAATTAGATTGATAGACTTCCATACAACACAATCATTTCTGAATAATACCTCCACATTCACATTAAAACACAACCACACACAAATTATTCAATTCATACAAGCATTCACATAATTGTAGCTAGGGTTTACAAACACCCAAGTGAAATAAGGGACTACTCCATGCTAGGAGAAGGGAAAACACAAAAGAGGGAAAGGAAAACCATCATGAAGAAGCAAGCCTTGCTCCTTTTGCTGAAGAAAACCCAAATCCTTGCTTGGAGATCTAACCCTAGCTTTTCCTCTTCTTTGGTTCGTCACTTTCTCACTCTAAAATCTAAATGAGAAGTTTCTCACTCTAGGTCTCTCCCTCCTTTCTTCTTCCTTTCAGCTTTCCTTTTTAGTGGGAGATCGCGCTGACTTCACGGCCATGAACATTGGAACGCGTTTGTGAACTCAGGGCTGCGACCAAAACGCACTGCTTCATCTGCTCAGGTTCACTGTTCGTGGCCCCTGTTCACGGGTTTAGCGACCGTGAACTGCCTGGGCGTCAGTAACTTGAAAACCCCCTGCGTTTGCTCCTTGATTCACGCTTCATGGCTCCATATCACGGTCCTGTAAGACCATGAACTCCAACGTCTGGTCGTGAACTGCGGCTGTCTCCCCCTCTTTACCCGGTATTTCTCATTTTCTTCCAACTTTCGACTCCGGGTTTGGTTTTACCTCTTAGGATCTGAAATACACCAACACACAAGCACCTCGCGTAAATCCAGCATTTTTGGAGTTCAATTGCAACAAACATCAAAGAGAATCGGGGTAAAACGTATACAATTAGGCCCGAATCAATCCACACTAACAGAACTGATATCGACACATCAGAGGAGTAGTTTTTAGCCAATATATCCATTTATTATCGTGGTAAAGCAAGAGTGTATCCAAACGCAGATAAATGGTATCCGAAGTGGGAAATGAAACCTGTGGTGGTTGTTCATAAGGCGGCTGCTGTGATGATCCTTCTCCCTCATGAGCTCTCTTTGCAGCCTTTTTCGGTTTTGCCATCATGCAAACTTCCTGAAACACAGATATAGAGTATAATTAGGTACTTACATAAACAAAATAATATCCATAATAAACAGAATAATATCCCCATTCACTGATTGGATATCCATGAAACCTGATTATCAGAATGCACAAGATAATATCCAAAGTTGCGTAAATGATATCCAGATTCAAGGTCGAGTTGAATGGGAAATTAATTCTCTTTATATCCAGAACAATTATCGAAAGTGACAAAATTGATATACATGGAAACTTAAATCAAGCAATCGACAAACAATACCCAGATTCCCCAAAATCGAATCCAAGAAATCCTAAACTGATAATCTAGAAACAAAATCCAGAACACCCAAAATCGAATCCAATAAACCCTAAATATTGTAATCTGGAAAAAAAATCTGCAACCCCCCAAAATCTAATCCAAGAAACCCTAAATCTACAAATTGAGAAACGAACCCCAAATCACAGTAATTCGAATCACAAGATTCCTAAATCTGGTAATCTAGAAACGATACCCAGATCTCCAGAAAAAATCCATGAAACCCTAACTGATTATCTACAAACAAAATAAAAAAATAAGGAGATGGAAGACGACAACCTGAACCACGTCGTCCTCCTTGCAATTGAAAGTCGTCTTCTACCTCCCACTACCGGCGGTGACGTCTTCGTCTTCTTTCCTCAAGGACTGCGAAAACCTTCCAAAACTTCCTCCTCGTCGGGACAGCCTCAAAGTCGTCGTCATGGTCTCTAACAAGCCGTCGCCGACCTCGCAACCATCGTTGCCTTCCCCGCAGTCGTCGGTCGGAGATTTTTGTGGTGGTTTTCGGGAGAAGAAGAAATGGAAACGGTAAGGAACGGAATTTTTTTGGAGAGAGTGGGGAAAATGGAAACAGCGGGTTGAGGGAGAGAGAATAGGGTTTGAGATTTGAAATTTTTGGGTTTTTTTTAATTATGGGCCCGCTTTTCCATCCAAAAGATACTCGGATTGGGCCTGCCGAGCTTGCCCTCTCTACCCCCTCACGCTATGGCGTCGGTCAGCCCTGTCCCTCCAATCGCGGCTCGCCAACGTGGTCTGCCATCCATCCCTCTTAGTATCTACTAACTACTTAACCAGTTAACATAATAACTATAGTGATGAAGAGGAGCCAGATCTGAAATGGGGGAAGGGCGGAGCAAGCAGCAAAAAGCGCTTGCTATTTACGAAGAGGTTCTTTTATTCAATAATGAAATAAAAGAGATTAGGAAAAAGATGGCGACACTTTAAAGATTTAGGAGATAAAATTTTGATTAGTTGGCGGGCAGATACACGGAAGCAAATTTTTAGAATTTGAAGATGTAAAATTTTAGGATTAAGGAGGCAAAATTTTGGGGATAAAATTTTGGTTTGTGGAGGCTAGAACAAAATGTGGAAAGTCAAATTGTTATTGTTTGACTGAACTTTTGAGAAAACAATTTTAAATGGCTTCCACTATAACATGAATCCTTATTGTGAAAATTTTTAAATCCCAATTATGGATAGGTAGGATCTACAAATGGAGAATTTTTTTAATAAAATCTAATTTTTATAATAATAAAGAGCTGAAAATTTTTAATTTGGAATCCAATTTATTTTAACCCTTCTTGATTTTCACTAAAAATGGAAACATAAATTATTATAATGTTCACGATAATTAACCGTGATTAAAAATTAATCACGAGATATGAAGTCTTAAAAAATATAAATTAAATCCCGTGACTAAAATTATACAATCAATCACAAGTTGTTATCCAGTGACTATCAGTATAACTTTTAGTACATGAAAATTTCATGTGAATAAATATCCCATGACAAATACTAGTTTTCCTATAGTACATATGTTATGGCACCGCCGCCATAGTAACAAGCTGAGAGGGAGGTCTTCGCTCATAGAACCAGCAGGAGTACGGATGAACGCTGTCCTGGAACACCACCACGGCGAAAGCCCGCGGCAGCGGTGATAGTTTGGAAGCCTGAGTCATGGATTAGAGAAGGATCATCTCTCGTTCATGGTGACAATGCTGGGGACGGTTCGCCGACGAAGGTAATGCGTTCGACATATGTTTTATCTCATATGGGTGAGTTTTGGGTTATGTTTTAGCTAGGGGGATTACCGTGCGCTAAATAACACTTAGATGCAAGAGATTCGGTGGAGCAATTGGTTGGGTGAGATGGTATACGTGACCAGTGAAAGGTGCCTTACCAATTTGGTGAGATGATACTAATAATATATTTGGTATGGGGAATTGAAAGAAATGGTGGGATGGACAATATTAGTGACATACGGCGGGGGTGCAAAATTGGTGGTCAAATGGAAGTGTGTTGAACTATCCAAAGTCAGGATACGTACACGACAATAGTAAGTTGCGTGGTTTTGGGGCTACTTAGTATTTTATTTTAAATGATTTATTATGTTATTTGATGTTCTATTCTATTTGAGTTATATGATATACTCTTACATGCTATTTATATTTGAGTTACGCACTTATAAGATTAATGTTTAAGCTACGAATTATGTTCATTTCTCAATTTATGCAAGCATGACAATGCATTACATCACAAGGTTATGTTTTAAGACAAGGAAAAACAATTTACTTTATAGTGTGTGATTCAGGTCCAATTGTACACATTTTACCCCACATTTCTTGACAGTTTGGCTTTGCATTTCATCGTCGCTCGACATATTTCATGCTAGGTTGTGCTTGTTTTGATACATTTCAGGTCCTAGCATTTGTGGAAGGGTCGAGGACTAGCTTCGGGACGATTGGAGATCGAAAAGTGCATAAACCGAAGAAAAGTCCAAAGTCGACCGTCACAATTGCCCCGTGACCGTTAAGCGCTGGCACCTAGGAAAGAAGCCGCAGTTCACGACCAGAGCTTGGAGTTCAGGATCGCCAGGACCGTGAACTGGAACCACAAACCGTGAACCGCAAAGCGTCTAGAGGAGTTTTAGAGGTTACTGACGCCGAGGCAGTTCACAGTCGTAAGAGCGTGAACTGGAGCCATGGACCGTTAACTCCATAAGTGAAGCGGCCCGTTCAGATATGTATTCGCAGTCCTGACATGATGTTCACGGCCGTGAACTGGGCGCGACTGGGTATAAATAGAGAGCTGAAAGTAGGAAGAAAGAGAGCTTTATGGAGGGTTTTAGTTTTCAGAATAAAGGTGGTTTTCTAGTGAGAGGTTAGGGTTTCCTCCTCCCATTCGAGAGAGAGAAAGTGCCATTCAAAGGAGGAAGAAGGAGATTGGGCTCAATTCAAGCTAGAGGATTGAACATCTCTTCTTCTCAAGGGAGATTCAAGCAAGAAGGAAGGAAGACACTCATCTCTCCATGGTTCTTTCTCTCCTTTTTGTTGTTTTCCTTTGCCTAGCTATGGATTAGCCTTCCTACTCACTTGTGTATTGAGAATCCAAATCTAGATGTGTGTTGGGATGTAAGAACTTGATTCTATTGTGTTGATTGTGTGTTTTATATAATATTTGAGGTATTAATCATGAATGATTGTGTGTTTCTTGCTTTATCTCATTATTGGGTCAAATTATCCTAGAAGGTGGAAATCCCCCTTTGGCCCATAGGGACATTGATCTCCCAGCTAGTTGGGCAACCCCTTTTGGGTGAATCTAGGGCAAAATCATCAAGTATCGGAGTAGTAGCATATCCCATCATGGTTGGTCGCTCTCGGCCATCCGGATTAACTTCTGAGGGTTGGGTCTTGCAACCCTTAGTTGATTAGTTAAGAGGGCTAGATCGTCTAGCCTATTGTTGTCATCCTTAGCCGAAAGGTTAAGAGAGTTACTCTACTAACTTAACGCAACAATCCTTAATTGGTCAACTAAGAGAGTTAGAGTTTCTTCGATTTGTTTGATTAAGAGAGCTAGGCCTCCTAGCTTATTGTTGCAATCCTTAGCCAAGCGGTTAAGAGAGCTAGGTTCGCTAGCTTATTGTAGCAATCCTTGATTTATCGACTAGGAGGGCTCGTTCCTAGCTTATTGTACTCGCCTCGCGGTAGGGCTGGGAAACAATCCGGTTCGGTTTAAACCGGACCGGATTGACCCGGTTTTTTACAACCGTATTAGACAATCCCACGACCGAAGACGGGATTGGATTGTAACCCGGTTTTGACCAAACCGAATTGGATGCAATACGGTTTGGTCCGGTTTTAACTTAAAAACTGGATTGATTTATTCCATCCAACACGCTGCCGTTTGCAAATGAAATTAAAAAAAATTATAAAAATTTGTACACCATACCACGTCTCTGGCCCTCTATCCCCATCCACACAATCCCTCAAAACCCTATCTTCTTCCATCTCTATCGTTACGGCCGTTGCTCTCTCCCACCAAAAAAATGAAATCCACTTCTTTCCTCTATTTTCCTCTCTTCTCCCATTCCTTTGCTTCATGGAGAGTCTGGCACCCATAAACTCTCCTTTGTTCCCCCTTCCTCTTGCATGCACAACCATCACCATGTATGTCGTGAACATTGGAGGCGAACGCTTGTTTGCATCGGGGAGAGAGGTGAGTCGTTGCTGAGAGTGGCGATGAACGATTGGATGATGGAGTCAGATCGGAAGATGGAGGGAGGCGATTGGAGAGTTCTGGTGGCAGAGTGGCGATGGGTCGATGGCCGGCTCTCGGCTGGCCGTCGTCGGGAGTCACGGGACGCAATCGAGGGAGGCGATTGGCCGGCGGATGAGCTTTGATTCTCTTCGTCTTCTTCTTTTCTTCGTGTGTGTGTGTGTTTTTTGTAAAGTGTGAACAGAGAAGATAGAAGAGTTTGAGGGTTAGGGAGTGAGAGAACAGAGAAGAAAATCATGGCCGACTAGGGTTAGGGAGTGGGCTCAGGATGGGAGTGGGCTCGGGCTGGGACTGGGACTGGGCTGGGCTATGGGAGGTGGGCTGGCTATATTTGTATTATCCGGGTTTTCGGTTTTTCCCGGTTTTAACCGGATCGGACCGGGCCAGTTTTTTGTGTGAATCCTACAACCGCAAATTGGATTGGGTGAATGGGAATCCGGTTTCCGGTTACAACCGTGACGGTTTAAATTGGCCAGTTTTCGGTTTGACCGGAAAACCGGGACCGGATTCCCAGCCCTACCTCGCGGTATATAAACATACCCTTCACACTAGAGTTTCGTTCATTGATTCTTAGCACGATACTAGGGGGAGCAATACCCGGGTGAGGTCCTCTCATATAGAATTCCCCTCGATTTACTTTACTTGCTTGTTTTCATTTGAAGTTTTCTTAGCTTTAAACCCAAAACCGTTTGCTAGATAACAACCTAAGCTATTGAAGTAGGGGTACATGGACCGGCCCAGGTTTGAGAATTAAAATATACTTGCCTTATGTTGCGCCCGACTAGAGCTTAAAAACTTGGAATCTAGTCGGGATTAATTCGCAGTGTATCCGTGGCGAGTCTAGTTTTTGGCTCTGTTGCTGGGGAACCTTACGGTCCATTATTTTGAAAAAGTCACTTAGTGTTACCCTAGCGTTTTCTTTCTTGCCTTTTTGTTTTTGTCTTGTGTTTCGTTTGTGTGTTGTTTTTCACTCTTCATTTTGAAGGGTGGTTTGTATGTGTTTGATTTTCCTTTTTAATGTTCTGTGTTTGTAGGTATTGGATCATGGATCCTTATGATTTCACCCAAGTGTGGGAGTATCCACCACCAACCGAGAGTAGTTACCCCGGAGCTTCATGGGACGATCAAAATGGGGGGACTCAAGGGTCTGAATTCTCCTACCAACCCCCTTCCATGAAGAGCAACCAT